GTGGGATTTGAACTCTAGACCTGCCACTTGGAGAGGGTGACGACTAGACCACTACACTAAGTCGCCACACCTCATTAATCTAAGTATAAATTATATAGCCCTTTATATAGTTGTTAAATGAAATGTACTAATGAAATACAAAGCCTAGTTTTGTCTTTTGTTATTAAATAATGGAATAATAAAACTGATGAAAGATGACATAACTGTAAAGGGTGACAAAGTGAATATACAAATAAATGTTGCTGAAAATTATTGATTATGTGTATAAAAAAATAAACTAAAAAAAATTTTATTGTATAATAGACATTTGAATTGTTTAAAGGGAGTTAAAAATGAGTACTCTATAATGTATTATACTAGTACACTATGTATCAGTTCTAGTGAGAAATTACTTGGTGCTTACTTGTGATTTTACAAATTTATTTTGTACTAGTATGTTTTTAATTTGTTATTTGTGTTATTCTATGGGTATGTATTGTGCTTTTTGACAAGATTATTTCAACTATCCAATAGCAACTCTGGCGTTGTCCAAAAAAGAATTTTTGCTAGTATATATGTAACTTCAGATACTAATCTCTGAATAAATTATGTAAGTTAATTAAATGAAAATAATTTTTTTATTTTTTTTTTTTGTAGAGTGAGCACTAGGGTCTCATCTTTTTGAGCGTAAGATTTCGTTATTTTATTAAGCTTCATCTTTTGTCAGAAGAATTTGGGTTTCGACTTTCATCTTTTATCATTATGCAAAAAAGGTTTCGTTAAACAACTATAGACCTTTATAAATATAAAATGAGAAAGCCAAGGTGCCCTTACTTACACTTGTTTATTATATATAAAATTTAAGTACAGAATTTTTCGACCTATTTCATTTTTTTAACCAATCAAATTCATCTAAAATACCAATCAAATTTGTGTTTCAATCAAATTAGTATATTTTGATCTATTGTTAATAACTCGTTATCTAGTGGTCCAAATTTGATGAAATTAGTACCGTACTATTCGAATTCTCTCTATGAGAGGATTCGAATAGTACGGTACTAATTTCATCAAATTTGGACCACTAGATAACGAGTTATTAACGATAGATCAAAATATACTAATTTGATTGAAACACAAATTTGATTGGTATTTTAGATGAATTTGATTGGTTAAAAAAATGAAATAGGTTGAAAAATCCTATAATTATTATAACTTTATGTTTTCGTAATTTATTTTTATTCTGCTTCATCATCTTCTATTAGTTTTGTCACCTTTGTAGTTTCATCAATTTCTTTACCTTTTGCCACCTTTTGCCAGTTTCAACACCTTTCAACAGTATCGACATTTCGTCATTTAAGATTTTAATTGATGAAAGTCAAAACTAGGTTTCAACTTTCATCAGCGCGAAACCTTGAGGTTTCATCTAACAACTATAGCCAGTGTACGTTGACTTTGATGCAAAGATATTGACATGACAAGAGATCTGAAAGCATCAATTCCAACATTTTAAATAACATGCTTGTCATGTGTGTGACAGTTGATTGGCATAATTAATTTAAGGAATAATTGAAAATATCATAACAAATAAGTAATGCGATAGATAAATTATGCAAACGAAACAATAAAATAATATGGGAGTAATTAATTAGTAATATAGTTGTAATGCGAATGTATAAATAATAAGTTGTAAGCAAGGGGAAGAATAGTCTTCCGCATAAGTAATTTCCCTAATAAAGAATATACCTTTTGAAATAGAAACTTGTCATCATTATCCCAATTGTAAAATAGATAATAAAGCGAGTGTTCGATCGTATAATGACCCTGGGCCAGATATTCGGTATAGTTTACCCTATATCGTTTAGCCACGTAACAATGCTTCAAGAAAAAAAGAAGCTACAAATATACACAATCTCAATATATTGAACTTCAAAAAAACAATGATCCTGCCAGTCGAACAGAACCAAGTTTTATTATTAATGCTTCAACCAATTTATTCTTAACAAAACTTTGAGTTAATCATCCTATTAAAACAACTTCACAATATAGCAAAGTTTCTTCAATTTATCAAAATAATATTTCTTAATAATTGTTAAAAAAAAAAATTCTGAAAAGTTAATTCATTTTTTCATTCTTTAATTTTTCTCTCAATAACCTTCTTAGAATTTTACCAGAATCACTTTTTGGAATTTTATCAATAAATAATATACCACCTCTTAATTTTTTATGTGGCGCAACTTTCTATCTACAAAAGATTGAATTTCCTTCGCTAAAGCTTTAAATTGCTCATATCCATATTTAATTGTGACATATGCTATAGGCATTTCGGTTGCTTCTTCTTCAGAATAATAACCTACTACAGCAGTATCTGATACTGCATCATGTGTAAGCAGAACTGCTTCTAATTCAGCAGGTGCCACTTGAAAACCCTATAAATATTTATTTTAAACTCGATAACATAATAAATTATTTATAATCGTATTTACTGTACTTTGTATTTGATTATCTCTTTTTTTCGATCAACAATGAAAAAGTTCCCTTTATGAAAAATAAAAATTATAATTAATATACACATAAAATATTATATAGTTATTGCATACGAAGTATGCAATAACTACTGTATTTTATGGACGATGGTGATTGGTTGGTAACCCAGCCGGTACGGCTGGGTTACCGAACGATCAGAAGAGAACATAAAATACAGCAGTTAGTGC